GTTTTGAGAGAATATATCCGTTTAAGGATCCCCTGAACACCCCCTACCCAAAAAAAAATTGTTTTCGAAGAGATGACTGTGTGTGTGGATGTATTTAATTATAGCCACAGACCACACCTGTAGTCCTATATTTGATTAAATTTGGTACCTATGTGAAATACCTATTTGAGATTTTGATTTTAAATGGCGATTTTTCTATAAAAAACGGGAAAATCGCATTTTTCAAAAATGGTCAAAACGATTTTGATAACAATTAATTCAGAATTTTATAGGCTTTTGAATTCCAAACAAACTGGAAAAATCCTATTTTCCTAAAATTACAGTTCACAAGTTATTGTAACTTATATTATTTTCTCCTAAAAAAAATTGGATTTTAGAAAAAAAGCCGGTTTTGATTAAATTATACAATGGTCCTTTAGATTCTGAACAAAATGGTACAAATGTCATTTTATGTCAACAAAATACGGTTCAAAAGTTATTGTAACTTGTGTTGTTTTCCCATAAAAAACCCATAAAAAACTAAACAAAATCTGATTTAACGGAATAAGCCGGTTTAATTTTTAAAAAAATGTGTTTTGGTCCTTATAAATATAAAAAAATAGTGCAGCAAATTTTGAAACGATTACGGTTAAAAATTTATTGCAACATTTGACATTTTCCCTATAAAATATCATAGTTACTCCCATTGCTTACCCATGATAAAGGTTGTTCACAAGCTATTGAGATACATAGTATGTGTCAGATTGCTGATACCGTTTATTTAGTAAATTTTTAAGCTTGGTAAAAAATAAGTAAAGTTTGATCAAAGTATATCCATAACAAGCAAACTGGTTCTTCATTAGATAACACAGAAATATAAATTTAGGCCTACATTTTTTTTAAATTTCCTTTCTAACTAATAATGGTACAAAAACATTTCAAGATACCAAATATTTCTTTTTTAAAAGCTCTGCAAAATGGTTTTGACATAAATTGAGAAATTCAATTGTTTCGAGGGCCAAAAATGAGAACAACTAATTTTTACTCCATAAAACTCGGTTCCTCAATGTCCGATCATGCTGGTTCCCGAACTTGTTCGAATACACACGTAGGTTTAAACAAAATTTGATTGTGTATAATTTTGTTCGAGTTATCGAGCTAAACGGACATACACCCGACAGGGTCTCCTAGGTGACGAAATGTTGTGTGCTCAGTGTCCCTCCTATATGTTCTTTGGCCTACTTGCACTTCTTCAAGATAAGCTAGCTGCTATCCTCTGGGGACCTTAAAACGATAAAGTAATTTGGTCCCGTGTCCAAGTCTTACCATGATGCCTACGGTATTAGCTTATTCCCGTTGTGGGAAATTCGCAAGTTAATGTTCCATCCAATTCCCCATTACTATAAATTAATTAATTAATGAAAACATTTATCCTAACTTACCACATGTAAGGGCAGTCATGCCGAATGTTGATCAAATTGTGGCAACTGTATGTGAAGTGTAGAAAGAGAGAGCCACGTGTTCTACTAATAAGTACGAGACATGTCTTCATAGTTATGAAAAGTATGATTTTGACGGAGACTTAAATTGCACATCTCAAAATCGAACATTGGTTTAAAGTAATTTCAACTCGACAGAAACCAAAGCAATCAGTGGTTTCCAACTGTTCGTGTTGCTGTCAAAACAATGTTTATCTTTAGATACAAGAGCTTATTAACGCTTGATTTCAGTTGCAGAAAGAACTAACTATGCTCATTCGCATAGTGAAAAATATAAATTATTTTATTACTAGCAGAGTATCCGTCCTTCGTACTGGGTTGGCATATAAACGTATAAAATTCTTATTGCAGTTATACTCAAGCTTTGAGTTTGCAATGAGGGAGGACAAAGTTTGATAAAATTTGCTTCTTTAAATTTACAGTATTCTATAGTATTACACATCTACCATAGCCATGTTCTACCACTTCATCTAAACAATAGAGAAAAATAAATTATCAAAAATTTTCAAAATATCATAAATTATTCATAAAATTATAAACATAAACATAGGCTTAAATGTGTCAAACAATCCTACTTTGAAAGTTAGTCCTCATTGCGTATCGCAGTTCTTTTTGAGACTTTTGAGATAAGAATATGCCTATATTTTAATCGGGAATGTGAAATCAAATGCCATCATGCCAAATTTCAGCCCAATCCATCTAGTAGTTAATGCGTGATTGAACTTCAACAAACAAACAAACACACAAACTTTCACATTTATAATATTAGTAAGATAAGATTAACACTGTTTTTCCGTTACTAGGAATATTAGCATAATTATAAAGAAGGTTGTGGACAAAAAATACAAATTTTTATACGAGTTTTGGCATTAACTCAACAGAAAGAAATGCTTGGTTATTGTGTACCTCATACATTGGGGTATTAGTTTTGTTTGAGAATTAAAAAACCTTCGCGGACGTCATTAGTTCGAATATCAGCGATGCAATTGAATTACTGTAGTTGTACCTAATGCACGTTAAATTTCAGGGCAAAATACTTTTAACCCAAGGTAAATCTAAAACATAATCAGATAAAAATAATCTTATTAAGTAAAGAAACTGCGTGCATTATGTTTTGAAACGAAATTTTGAGAATTTAGTACTATTTACAATGTAGTGAATCTAACAAAATACTTATAATAGTACTATTCCGATGGCAAAGTTTCTGATATATTGTGCCCCAGCGTTGGTAAAGTAAATATTAGAAAAACATTAGCGAAGATGTTAAAAATGCTATACCCTAAAGAACTTTAAAGCATAAGCCGTGGTATTTTGTACTACTGCTATAAAATATACAGGGTGACAAAAAAGTCTGGAAACGGCTTAATATCTTTTTAACTAAATCCGTTAAAAAATTCAAACCTTCCACATCAACTTACATGTATGAAAACTAATTTATGAAACATTAACAATTTTCGGCCTCCACCAGGGGACGACCAATGAGGAGTAGGTACTTAATCTTTAATGTAAGCATAGGTTGATATGCACACCATTTTAAAGGGCTGGTCATATGGAGTTCATTGCCAGAAACCGCGTCTCAAAAGGTTCATCCGTTACTAAATGGCGGCTGTCCAAAGTTCTTATGGAATATACCTTCATAGTATTGGTAAATACTCGTAGTCAACATTAGCCTGAAAACCTGAAACCCGGTTAAATTTGTTGTTAATATTGAATTGTATTATTCAATGAGCTAGTTGACTTTAAATAACAATTTCACCTCTCAAAGCTAATGTTGAATACGAGTATTTACCAATACTAAGGCCTATGTAGGTATATTACACAAGAAATTTTGACAGCCGCCATTTAGTAACGGATGAACCTTTTGAGACGTGGTTTCCGGCAATGAACTCCATTTGACCAGCCCTTTAAAATGGTGTGCATATCAACCTATGCTTACATTAACGATTAAATACCTACTTCTCATGGGTCGTCCCCTGGTGGAGGCCAAAAATTGGTAATGCTTGCAAAAAGTAGTTTTCATACATGTAAGTTGATTTGGAAGTTTGAATTTTCTAACCGATTTAGTTAAAAAGATATTAAGCAGTTTCCAGACTTTTTGTACACCCTGTATATTTATTCTATATTGTTTACCAATAATATGTTGTGAACTGTTATAAAAGCTATACAGTTGATTACTAGATTATTAATTTTAATTGTTTAACTTATCAAAATTCCATTACCGGTACTATTGTTTGTACTGCCAAATAACATTGATGATAACTAAGAATTAACTCGAAAGAAAAGGAGATAATTTATGAACTTGATTTAACCCTTTACTTCCCAGAATTATGAAATTTAATAACAAAAAAATTTATTGTGAATTTTCTTTTTATTTTTTGTATTTTAAGGCTAAAAATGTGTTTGTTTTCAAATTTCCCTCATAGAATTAAAAGTTAGAAATATGTATCCATATGGATACCATGGAAACCTAAAGTACCATTGTTCGCCAATTTTCATACGTTAATAATTTTAATTTTACTTTGACACTCCCATAGTATCCATATGGATACAAGTTTCTTAAAAGTTGTATCAAATTTAAAAATAAGTTACTTGTTCATCAATTAAAACAAATTAATTTAGAATGAGTACAAATAGACATATTATGTAAAAAACTTAATTACAATATCACTAGATGGCATCATAAGCCACTCATCAATTTCTTCATTGTCATTAATCTGTAAAACGCACCATTATTATATTTAATGATTTCTAATATCGGACTGAAACAAGCATTACAACACTTGTAGGCCTATATTTTTCATTGTGCAGACTTAAAAAAAACAGACTTATATCGAAGAAAATACAAAAGAAAAACAGTATCCATATGGATACTATGGGAACACAGACGACACACCATAGCTATTATTAAAAATAAACCTGTATCCAAAAGGATACTATGGGAACACAGAGGACTCTTTAAATATTGTCAGCATACTCTGTGTTCCCATAGTATCCATTTGGATTCAGTTATTTTATACCAAATATATAAAAAGTAAGTAACAGAAAACTATAATTCTATGTATATTTCAGTAGCTAAAGGTGCAATGAAGTGAAATATAATTTTTCCCAGCTTCGTAACTAGTTATAAACATAAAAAATCTTATCTTGAAAATCTTAAATTTCATGATGTATCAAAAACCTGGTTTGCATCACTTTGAAATAATATTTTTCTTCTTTTCGCAGGCTTGCCAACACTAGGAAAATTAAAAACCCTTTCTAATAAGCCTAGAAACAAAATGCATAGAGGTATAGACTCAAATCTCTATCTACAGAGATGTAAAAAAATGAGAAATAATAAGTATCCAAAAGGATACTATGGGAAGTAAAGGGAGAATCGTTTGACAAATTTTAGGCTTGAAATCCCTGGACAGAGAATACTACACGTTCCACGTCCATGCAAATGGGTACAGTATTTGCAAGATGTGTCGGGAAAGGTGATAAAATGAGGTAATACAATGATGGAACTGAATTGCTCGTAAAAGACATAATATTTATCTCTTAATACATGTACTTTAACCTTAAAACAAATAATTTAACATAGTTTAAAATATCAATATAAACTATTGTTAGAATGTATTTTACGTAGTACAAACAAACCACGGTTACATATTTTTATTGCTGTACTCGAAGACAATTTGTTACCCGTTTTCTAACGTTATAACCATAACGTTCTATTCTACGTCTTATTCCATTTTAGTTAAATTTTGGTTTGTTTGTACTTTTAGTAATAACATTTTTGACATGTATAAGATTTTTCTAGGGTGAAATTAAGTATAAGATCAAGGTTTTATTCCGTTTTGCAATCTGCATTGTTTCTGAAATAATGTTTACTCAACGTCAGGAGGTAGACATTAGAACATATCGTAGATAATTCCCTTAGTCAAAGAATCTCCAAGTTGGTTAAATAGTCATTTAACATTTAGAAAATATCAAAGCACAATCCCGTGATTTAAAATCAACCTCATCCTATGTTCCATAATCATTTTTAAGTTTTTACAGGCTTGATGCTTTTTTATAATATTTGATTAAAAATCGTTGAATTCGTAGTTTTTATGCCAAATGTACGTTTAATCATTATTGTGGAGAAGTAAGGCCCTTATTGACAGTATACCAGTGCCTTCCCTATAAAAGTTAAATTTGTCCTAAAAAGAAAATTTTTCTAACTCAAATAGTTCATAATGGTCTTTATATTAAATATATTTTACTCATAAATCTAATTTATCCTAGAATGGTCTCACTGTTACTATTTAAAACCACTCCTTTACGATTATATTATACTCCTAAATAAATTCAGGATTGTAATTTAGTTTCATATGTGTAATTTAATTTTGTAACTGAAAGGCTTTTTACAGAATTTTTCATCGCAAAAGGTTTTAGCTTTACTTCAGGGTTCATGAAGTTAAAATAGAGAAAAAGGCCAAATTTCTATTGACGTAAGTATTTTTCCAAAGAAAGTTAACATTATTAAATTAACATAACATACATTATTAAGTTAACATTATTGAATTATTTTTCTATTAAATCATAATAACCCAACAATCGTCATCACCTAAATTTCTGTTGGAAAAAATGATCTTAATACTTTTCTTTAAACAACGTTTGTGTTGGCACGATTAGGGCCCTGAAGTTACGCGGATATCAATTTAAAACAGTAATGGTTAAAATCCTGTATATGCTTTAACATCACGGTCTAAGCCATGATAAGTCAAACTAATTATTTACACCGAGTCAGATACTTTTACTACAATACGTTCATTACTATTTTGACTATAGGAACACCTAACATTGGTCTAGCAGAATTGTCTTTAGCTACCTAGTATACAAATACAATAATCAACTTAGTATAAACAACACTTACAACTATATTTTAATATTTATTCTTTAAATCTTACTCTAGTACTAGGTAATCACCATAGTTTATATTTATCACAAAATATGATACATTAGTGCACAGAATAGCGACATTTTCAAAACGAACTGTGCATAACAACTGGAATAGCAACAATACCAATAAGCCTTAAAAAGGACATGAACTAATTTAATGTTGATAAAGTGTGGTTTGATTTTTACAATTTACATCCAACAAATAAATCAATCAATTATCAACTATCCATCATAGTATCAATCATAGTAGAACAACGCAATTTCATAATGTGTGGCTTAAAATAATATTTAAACTATCAATCCCATTGAGGTAGTTGTATGTGAATAAAACTGACAAATGATTACTGAAAACTGATTACAAACAGTACTTACCTTTTAGAAACCCCTAAAAAAAGATTTGCACTTTTTTCAATGGTTTTAACCACACTTGAGCTTATTGTAACATTCTTTAGTTGTTACTATCTTCCCTCCACACCAAATCACATAGTTGCTGTACAAAAGGGCTTTAAAGTATATGTGGAAAGATAAAGTTTGTAATCGATAACATAAAATGAAATATAAAAAGCTTGAACAAATTATTTTCATACTGACTTATTCTTAAATACATTGAAATTCGTTACAAAGGCTAAAAAAAGGAAATTTCAAAGGAACGTGAACGATACATTTTGTAGTTATTACTTGGTTGTCATTATGTTGTTAGCTTGGATTTAAAGCAAGGAATTTTATTTTAATACCGAAAGCAACTCCAAGAAATGTTATTAGGTTTCAGGTTTTCTGAGCAGAGGCTTATCCCCACACAATCTGAAATACGTCTATTTAATACGTCTATTTAATACGTTTTCATTTTAGATTATATTGTTATACCATCAAAACAATGCACATGTAATCACATATGATACAGGTAACAAGTTTACCTTATTATCTCCACGAGAAAAACTATAAAATACACACTCACATTCACACTCAACAAGTTAACATGACAAACAAGGAGAGAACGTCCAATGATCAAGGTCCGTAGGGCGAACCACACAAGATGACGGTCGTGGTGATCGCAGTGGTGATCAGAAAAACCCACAACAGGAACCGATCACACACCAGCGCTACCTGAACAGTGGATACAACACAATTAAGGTGTAAAAATCTAATAGTCAGGGTAAACAAAAACACCCACAAACCACCATCACTTTTTAGCACAGCGGATTCTGAATCAACAGACAAATGTAGCACTTAAACTGCCATAAAATACTATTCTCCTCCAGAATGTTTATCTTTTTCTCGGCGACCTTTCAAAGCCAATCTTCACATTACTAAACAGGGTTGATCTTATAACACAAACCAAGTCTGACTTGCAAAAAGTGGTATTTCGACATTGCCAAGCTGTCTGTTTATATCTTGCAAAATTATATACATAATTATTATATTCTTTACATCATTAAACTGATTGTGCACAATATAGCCGCATTTGCTTTGTCAATTCATGTACAAAAGGGAAGATGATTAAATTTAATCCAATTCAAAAATTCTTTAACTGTAACATGTAAATACAAAGAATAGAGTCAGATTAACCGAACCTAAATTATACATATTAATATCTAAAAACACATCCCACATTTTTGGGATTTTAGCTCTTAAGATAATATATACAACATACATTATACACATCACTCCAAGAAAACATAAAACAAAATAAAATAATAACTACAAAATGTTAGAATCAATACTTAGAAAAAGGAATATATGCAAGTTTATTATATCCTAGAATAACCCCGTCCAGCAAACATTTTTATAAATATAATTTTCAGGTATATTTTGGTATATCTTGGTATCTTCAGGTACTGTAAATTGTTTTCAGCTCCTTGCTTCCACATTTTAGTCAATTTAACTACGCAAGAGACATTTCTCAAAAACATTTTATGTCTCCGGAATCCTCTAACTGCTGTGTAGCCCCTGCTATGTGACTGTCCATTAGGATGTATTTCTTATTCCCTTTCACACCTTCAACATTTTAATCTACTCTTGTTTTTTTTGGGGTCTGAGCTTTCCACTTTCTTCTTCAATGCGGCAATCAGACTTTCGATGAGTTGGTTTGGTTTGCCTACTATGTAATTTAAGCAACAGTTATAGCTTTAGGTAGGCCGGAAACTACTTCCTTTGCGTTCCTTAATCCTTACTCCTTGTCAAGTTTTTAATTTAAATATAAAGCACCGATCAATGTGTTCAATCGACTGTTAATATACGCTGGACGAGATATCACTACTTTTTATTCAATTGGGTGCTGGAAGAGATAGCACTTGTACGAGATGGCACTAAATCCACTAATTACCGTGGTTTTTGTTCCTCCAGCTTAGGCCATAAAAATTCGTGGCTTTCAGATGGCAGCCAAAATCCAATGGGTGCCTTTAGTTTTTTTTTTTACTGAGATAGTCAAAGTGAGTTAAGATGCTAACGCTTAGAATAAATTGTCCATTTGACTTGGTTGATTTGCAGCCGGTGTATTCCACATATACAGGGCGACAAAAAAGTCTGGAAACGGTTTAATATCTTTTTAAATAAATCCGTTAGAAAATTCAAACCTTTCACATCAACTTACATGTATGAAAACTACTTTTTCCAAGCATTATCATTGTTTTACCTGTACCAGGAGACGACCCATGAGGAGTAGGTACATAATCTTTAATGTAAGCATAGGTTGATATGCACATCATTTTAAAGGTCTGGTCAAGTGGAGTTCATTGCCGGAAACCGCGTCAAAAAAGGTTCATCCGTTTCAAAATGGCGGCTGTCCAAAGTTCTTGTGGAATATACCCGCACAGGCCTTAGTATTGGTAAATACTCGTATTAAACATTAGCTTGAGAGCTGAAACTGTATTTTAAAGTCAACTAGCTCATAGACTAATATTATAAAATCTTCAAAACAAATTTAACCGGGTTTCAGATTTCCCGGCTAATGTTGAATATGAGTATTTACCAATACTAAGGCATCTGCAGGTATATTCCGCAAGAACTTTGGACAGCTGCCATTTTGTAACGGATGAACCTTTTTTGACGCGGTTTCCGGCAATGAACTCCTCTTGACCAGACCTTTAAAACCTATGTTTACATTAAAGATTATGTACCTACTCCTCATGGGTCGTCCCCTGGTAGAGGTCAAATAATGGTAATGCTTGCAAAAAGTAGTTATCATACATATAAGTTAATATGAAAAGTTTGAATTTTCAAACGAATTTATTTAAAAAGATATCAAGCCGTTTCCAGACTTTTTTGTCACCCTGTATTACGTAATTTACATCACTGAATGTGTGGCTATTAGTGGTTCAACTCAACTACGTTTATTTTGATAATAAAACTGGTGCAACTTGGGATGGAATGTTTAGTCCTGTAGGTCCAATCACTCTAGTAATTATATTATTACTTCTAGTAATTATATTATTACTTCTAGTAATTATATTATTACTTCAACAAAGGTGATAAGCAACACTTTTGACTCTTACTTTAATAAAACTCTGCAAAGGATTGAACATTATACTTTCATACCGGGCTCTCATTGTTTTTTTTTAATTGCCGAAATCCTACTAAAAACAAACTGAAAGTTCAAAAGTTTTGACGTTTAATTTTTACTAAGTCAAGCAAACAAGAGGGTAATAAACAATAAAACATATTACTTTAAATAAATAAGGGAAATCAGGCAAACCCTGGGTAATAGAAATATCCGTTTTAGGATTATAAAGGTTTGGACCACAAAAATAATTTTAATGCACACTTATACCGTTTCCAAATATTTGTGCATTGAATATAAAAAATAAAGATGACTGTTTCCGTGTAATTTATAGCCTACTCGTAACTGATAAAAGCATACTAACAGCAGTGCAATCTGTTAGAGGGAAGTGTTTTAATTCGGCCTCACCCGCCTCCCCGCGTCAAGCAACGATTAATTTTTATGCAAATTAAAACAATGGTTGTGGTTGAAAGAGGAGCGAAAAATTCTTCCTTGTAAGTTTATTATATTTTTACTACTCGATAAACATTATAAGAAATAATTACGAACGTACTATTCTTTTTCTGGGTTATTGCTTTCCTTCTTTTAGATTATAATTAATGTAAATACTGTGGCTTACTACCGAGTATGTGTGACTCATCGATGTATAATACTAAATACGTCAATGTTGTGACCAATGCACATGTTTATACGTGGGCCAAGCATATAAATTTGAATTATCAAGAGTTTTGAATTATTAAGAGTTTGATTTATCGGGAGAAAAATAAACCATTCGAATTACAGAGAGTTCATTTGTTTAATACATACAAAGCTACAGCACGTTACAATTAAACATCATACTGTACCGTATTTTAGTAGACTTTTAAACAATCAACGGCTTATTTTTCAGTTACTGTAGTTGCAAATAAATCTGTTATTTAGCGCTATATATTTCGCCAGTAGCTGAACTATCAGCTGTCGACAACTACGTTTGTGCTCAAGGAGATGTCGCGCAATCTAGAGACTTAGAAAAACAAGTCAGCGAACTAACTCAGACTACTTTTCTAACTAAACAAACATCAAAACGTCCAACACTAGCCTACCATGGGAACAGGATGTACTTGATGTACTGTACTGTATAGGTTCCTGTTATATAAGGAAGAGATCACTTCGAATTATAGATTGTTTTGCCGACTAAACTTCGAATTACTGCGTGACTTTGATTTATAGAGTGTTTTTTTCGACGAAACTTCGAATTACAGCATGATTTCGAATTATAGAGTGTCAACCGACGAAACTTCGAATTACTGCGTGTTACAAATTGACCTGCCCTCTATTTGGACTTTGAAATACCGAGTGTATCAAAATGCATGGTAAAAATTTGAAATATTGAGAGATTCTCTAGGGACTGAGCCTTCATTTTGAATTATCGAAAGTTTTGAATTATCAAGTGTTTGAATTACCAAGAGTGGACTGTATGTCTGAAATGGTGCGTATAATAAGTTTAATGGAAGTGCAGACAAAATCCATTATTGCAATAGTTTAATCATGAAATATTAAAAGCAAAACACGTCTAAATGTTCTGTATAATACAGAATTATTACAATAACTGTACACATTTAAAAATATATCACATGATTCACAGTTTTTTTTTTCATTTTCGGGTAGTATATCAGGTAATAAATATGTTAGCATTTATAAAACCTTTACTATTTTAATTGTTGTTATATAAGTGAGTTAATGCCAGTGTGAAGTATACAAATACAGTTAAGCTATCTTCTTTTATTTGTTATCTTCGACTAACACGACTTAAGAAGTATAAAACCCAAGACTGGGCAATCGATAGGGATGATTTGACTCCCATGACAACAGCCGGGGTTAAAATCATGTATACGTCAGTAAGGAATAACTGTGGGTATGATACTAGTTACGTAAGGCCTCTATGTATACTGGAAGATAGATATACTGGAAGGCCTGTATATTAACTGGAAGATTTGGCTATTCATTAAGAGCTGACCTGATTCTTTGTTAGATTATCAACTCGTTGGTTCTCTTTTAAAAGTGTTGTATTTGATTAGACCACGAATAGGTACAGCAAAATTATATTTCAGATATGTTTTATTTGACCAAACACAGAATTAAGAAGAAGAGATAAGAATATACTTAAGTACTATTTGCTAATTTATGTATTTAGCTATTTGTCTTACGGCCTTTTAATGTAGCACTTCCTAAAACAATAGGAGGTCCTATAAGTTTACAAGATAAATATCCGGCAAATCAAACCATATAATGTACGTATACATCTTTTTCTTCATTTTTATATTTTATAGTGAAATTAGTTTGGGAATATAACATTACGTATTATGCTTAACAGTATTTTGTATAATAAAACCTAATTTCCTTCGTGAAAAATACATTTTACTTAATCCATAAATTTATTATGTAATAAAATTAAAAATTATTTTACACTTCAGTTCCTTTACCGCATGAGAGAACGATAACATTTCCAGTTATCTAGATGGATATTATTTTGCGAGAAAATATCCCTGACGGTTCTTCTACAGCACACGTTTAGAGCTAAATCTTAATCTCTGGTTGATGTCGGAGTATTTTGGGCCATATCCTTTTCAGTTGATTTATATTCTGTTTTCATTCAACTTTATCTGTTTTATATTAAGGATAGAATTAACTTCACCATTTTTAATTTTCGTGGCTTCATTACGTCATAATTTCAAAACTAGTGAGTCAAGTAGTATTCTTTCAGCTATTTGTTTGCATTGCATGATCTGGTCGAGGATTGGATCTTATTATACCTGACGTACGGGTATGTACTGCCATTTCACAGTAAAATTAGAGATGCAATAAATCAACTTAAGAGTGTCCCTTTTTACAGCACAAGTCATACCATTATACCAGGATAAATCCTTGCAGTCATACAACGTACCTGTTTCCACTCTATCTCCGTGCACTCTCGACGCTCCTGATCTGCCAGGCGGATTTCATTTCGCTCTATCGTGCAGTTGACTCTGTGTAGTACCCTCAGGAACTGTGCTTCAAAACTGTCTGGAACATTCACTATGCTATCTTTAATGTCAAGTTATCTTTATGCTCTAAAATGCTTAAGACATTTATACACAATGTTTGGAAACTGAAAACTCACTACAAAGTGCAACGTCAGTGTAACGAATGCCAGAAGACCACACCATGAACTCTTTGTATCGATTATCTCGATACACTGGGGTTCGTTACATTGAGGTGAGGTGAACTCCAAAATTGTTACATCAAAATTCCGAGACTATCTTGGTTACCTTGTAATTATTGTGAAATCAAATAAAGTAATGTAATGAGATAAAAATTTCTCCAGCACAGCAAACCTGCAGACTAAGCCAATTTCCATTTGTCTTATTAGATTTTACGAAGTATGTTTCCTCAAATACGTCAGATTTATCCCCTATTTAATTATATATTTATTAAATCAATTGCGTTTTTTTTTTAATACTCTCCGTTACCTTTAACCGCAACACAACGCTTCGATAAACAACAATATTAGTTTTTGTTTTTTACCCTATACACAGGGCAGCAATAATGATTGGACATTTTTATGTATTAAGGATAACAACTGAAAAAAATCATAACACCGTAATATACCGTTTTTCCGACCCGATCTCGCTGGTTTACGAAATCATTCAAGTGTATTCTATCCAGCCCTACTCGTTCATACCAAAATGCAATCAAAATTGGACCAATATATACATTTAAATAAGCTATGTCATAGCTAGCAACTGCGGGATGGTAACTAACCTTGAACCGGTTGGTTTTGTTTTTTTTTTTTGCCTCTCTACTCAGGCCTAGTGCCAAATACGTTAATAACGTCTTCCCTATAGGAATAATTTGCTAAGACATAAAGCAATCATTATAATTCTACACACATAGTGAGGAAAGCTAGAAGCAATTTTTACAGCTAGATAAAAGCATGTAAATTTCAAAGTACAGAATGTAATACATCCATGTAAATATTACAGTACTCATCATTATGAGTACTAACTTTTTCATTAAATACTCGTATTTACGAGAACATTAAAATACCTAATCTCAATGTTGTAATTCATACGCTTCATCAGGCTTTGTTCATCATGTTTGCGAGAGAAAAAGTAGGGGCATAATTTAAACAAAATCTGCGAATGATTAAACCACAGTCACCCAAAATAAACTTATAAGGAAAATATAACTCTTTTGTACATTCTCTTCCGTTGGGTCGAAAATTTCACAACTTCGTTTAAACTCTCCTTCAACATGGCGCTCAGTTTACTTATATTTTTTCAGTCCACCGTCACTAAAAAAACTGCTCCCTACACACACAACCTAAAATCTAAACTTTCTATTGAAAATGAATCAATTTGTCTACCAATACTGATTGGAATGCTAACTAAGCTTTCACGTCGTCAAACGACCGATTTTGTTCATTCAGTTCGTTATAACGAAGTACGAAAGTGTAGGAGTTTCGTTGTAAAGAGGTGAATTATCTTTTCACTGCTTACAAATTCCCTTATACTGTTTTAACTAAGAGACATTTTCTAAAATAAGGTTGATTTATTTCCCTGAGATTATAAAAACCATTACATTGAACTTTTGAGTACAATTTATTCTGTTGGAGAGTTCTAGGGGATTTCAGTTCGAGGAGTTCGTTGTACCGAGATTTCTGATTCTGATCTTTCCAATCTCGCGTACATGTCCCCTCAAGAGCTGTGTTTCAGAACTGTCTAGCTAGAACATTGATGCATAGTAAACATTATACATTATAGGTCACTAAACATATACTAATTACACAATTACTAATTGAATAACAAAGTGATGAAAATATTGGGATGTTTGAATCTGAAAGTGGAATAGAAAATTCAAAGATCTCTAATTTAAAATAATAAAAACAATTGTAAGAAATAAACTATACTGAATTGCAAGGTATGTTCTATTTACACGACTTATATCTATCATTAGTTTTTGACAAGGTATCCTTCTTAAACTTGATCATGTACAGTTTATACTTGATTGAATGAGTCGTCTATACGTGAAGGCAATGTGTGCTTTACAGTGAAGTGAGAGTTCGGTTTTATTTATTTCACCGAAGATATCCTTTAGAGTATAGCCAAAATCCTTTCCAGCTACAATATTGTTCCAACAAACGCTGACAATTCGTTTGATAAAAATATCTGGACTGCTAAATTACTAAAGCCCACTTTCATCAGTATTAGGAAATTTTTCAAATATATTTAATAGTTATTTTTATGTAAAACAAATTTTATGTTTTGATACCGAAATGAAAACTGTTTTAAATTAAAAAAATATATAACACGTTGGGTATAAATAGTGAATAACGTCGTTTCATTGATATGTATAAATTTATACTATACAGTATATATATTTCCTTTGTACATATCAATACACCAATACACACAAGAACAAATCTTCCACAGTCATCGAGGATAGATTAATGTACCGTTCGAAAATGGCAAAATGATTCATCGTTGGACGATATTTGATTAGTGTACAAGTTAACCTCTCAATACAAAGTGAATGGAAAACAACCTCCATTACATTATTAAAAACAAACAGCTCTTCCCATTCTGTAATCAATCATCAATACTACTTACGTTTATAAACTGAATTTTTCACCCAACATTCTTAAACCCCAATTTATTTTATAACCAGGATAAGACGATGAATTTTATAAAAAAAGGAAATATAACTTGTCGACTTCGTGTTTGAATGTGTCTACAAACTACGTGCGATTGAGCTGATCCAGCAGTGAGTGAAGTAGCTTTTTCACAAAGTTACCTTTACTCTAGATTGATTGTGGGATTATGGAGGTAATGAGGTGGGTCGCTCAAAGGCGAGTACAAGTCTGAGGCATTTCAAAGTGGGTTTGCGGCGTTACTACAGCCTGATGTATATTTTATAGGATCTTACATTTAAAAATATCAACTGTTCATCTATAAAGGTAATGTATATTATTAATAGCTAATGCATATACAACAGGCCTATCTATTTGAATATATATATATATGAATGTTGACGCTGTAATACAAAGTAGAGAAGTGTAATCTTTTTTAACAGCTGTTAACTTTTTGACAACTTTCTTCTTTCAAGTTTACGGTTTATGCATGATTAAACATAGCCAAAGAATATGCTTGTTTTTCATGTATTAACAATTATATCAGCTTTTTGTTGTGAAATTGTTTTTAGCGAATTTCCCATATAGGGAATAAGCTATTACCGTAGGTCTCATGGAAAGACGGACACACACACACGCACACACACATATATATATATGTGTGTGTGTGTCCGTTAGCACGATAACTCAAACAAAAACTATCCGATTTTGATGAAATTTGGTATAAACGTGTAAACGAACATTCATTCGAACGAGTTCGCGAACCACGGACTATGCGATCGGACTATGGGAACGGGGGTTTATGGGGGTTTTTTATGGGTTAAAAATAGGGTTTTCCAATTTTTGACCCTAAAAACATAAAATTTTGGAATTTCTTTCCTAACCATTTTGTAGAGCTTAAAGAAAGAAATAATTTAGTATATTGAAGCATTGTTGTTGCCTAATGGTTACGAAGAAAATTCAAAAAAGTGCAAATTTAAAATTCCCATGTTGTTCTTATGGAGAAAATGAAAACTGTTGTAGTTTACTTGTTTATGGATATAATGTTGATCAAATTATTTGGCAAATTTATTTATTTCATCCTATACTGACGTTTGGTCAAAAACACTGTTTACCTTCCCCGTAGCAGCAAACCTAAGCACTCGTGAAATCTAATGTTCCTAGTGTCCCTGTTGCTCGAATTCGAGCAATTATTATTTTAAAACGAATAACAGTCATAATTTCTGATGACTAACAGATTTGACTCAAAGATTATGGAAAAACTGAAGATGTACATATCAGATCGATATAATCAACATTTCGCGTAAATAACTTAACATTTTTCCAAAGCTGATTTTTTTTTAGTGTTTCCTACACCTATTTCCCACTCATAGCCCCATTAGGTTGTCCATAATAACGATTATAAATAAAACATTATTTCTATTTCTTCTCCTTGGTGGTGTTCTATGACTTTCCTATGTTTCCATAGTCTGAAAATCGCCTCTTTCAATGATTACTAAGAAATGCAGCACAGTGTTAATTAATATTTCTTTTTAGTATATCAAACTATCCAGGCTTTCTCGCTTTTTCATTGTAATATTTACGCCAACCCAAATACAAATAGTTAATAATTCATTTCAACTAAGTCAGTAATGTTTGTAGCAAACTGTTAAATTAGAAAACTTATTGGCTGTTTACAATTAACATATGTTGTTCTCACTTTTAATTTCTGACAACAGCTAGAGTTTCATAAACATTTTTGTTTCCCGTGTTAATCTTATGGAGAAATTCGAAACTTTAAAGGGCCCAAGGGCCTCACACTCTAATTATTTCCCTAAAAAGAAAGTTTCCTGCACATCTTCACGTTACGGTCTTTCCAATGACACCAAATACATGTCAATCGGTTCAGTAGTTTCGGAGGAGTAATTGTCACAAAAAACCTGCTTGCGTATTAAATAAGAAAGAATGGATTTAAATTGGGAATATGTCTTACTTATGGAAATATTTGAGTAAATATGTAATCAGACAAGTTGAAATTCACTTAGTCTGCAGGTTTGCTATGGCGGGGGTATTTTTTATTTCAACTAAAACGTAAAGGAATTACATTAATGTTTAGAGTAGGTAGACTGTAGCAAACTGGTGAAAGTAGAAGAAACAAACGTCTAAGCAAGCACAGATGTTAACAATGTAAATAGGCGTGTGATGTATGTTTCATAGTCAAGGGTGAAGAAAGCAAAGAGTTTTAGACGGGTGGGAGGGGAGCTTAACCAAAAATAATCCATCCACTAGAAGACTTGATTATTAATGGTATTTTTTACCAGAAAGACACCCATTGCAAGTAAGCCTACCTGGGCTAGTCTCTGTTCTAGACATGCGGTGTCTGTTGATGAACCTAGGAGACAGTTGGGAAGTATTGAGGTTTATGTTGTTACATTGGTACTCGCTTTCCTCAGTGGTTGTCCATCGCTCAGGTCGGGGACAGTCCAACCGCGTGCCAGTGCGAGGGTTCACGTCCTGCACAGTGATAGTAACACAAATCAGATCCTGCATTTACAATGCTTGTTAAGATTATATCGCTGATACGCATGCATACGATATCGGTTAGTTCACCCTACAAAGAAAGATCTAATGTGTCACGAAACATAAATATTTACCGATTCAAAACGGTTACCCTAAATATTCTACCCTTATTCGCTCTTTCTATCTCGCTGTGTTTACCCTGACCTCACACATTTCCCTCAACAACAATAGAATTCAAATTCTTTTTCATAAACACTCGCTTAGTCACATCCAAACCACTGAAGCTGCAATTAATCTTGTTTATAATTACGGGGTTTTACAACAGCATATTAGTATTCAGCTGAAAAATTTGTTGGAAATATATCTTTTATCGTTTCTCGTTGAGTTACTAATAAATCATCATTATACGCGATTAATAATCCGATTAACTGTTTTAGGCTGATTTTTTTTTATGATGTGAAGCTAATCTATCAATGTATCTTTGCCTTAAGTTAGGTGTACCATGCTATTGTTATAGATAGTATTAACGTATTACATTAATTATGCAAATAGTTTTATCAATACGTAAAACAACTTTTTAGGATGTCTTGAACTTAAAGTATATCTATATAGTTAGGTATAGTATATGGTTAGGTTTTTATGAGAAATATTGATTTATTTTTATTATGAAGTAAGCTATGTACGTTTGTTTAAACTATTTATAATTCATCGTGACATATCCACAACGAAAAATGAAATATCCTTTGGGGCTATTAACAGTTCTAAAAGACAACCTATTTTCATATTAATACATACTAAAACCACACCAATAGAATGTAGTTGCAGAATACTAATTGAAGACTATTTTTTTATAAAGGCAAACAAAGGTTTTTTCTCTAAATCTTAAAGCCACATTATGATGAAAAACAGTATGATCATACTGGTATTAACTGGTTTAAGAGTTTACATCTTAAATTGATATAAATGTTTAAAAACACCTAACATGTTGTGTTTAAAAAAATAATAATAAAAAACTATAGTCACCATTACGTTGCCAAAAATGATGAAATGCTTAACCTTTTATAGCCTAATGTGTGTTTTCCACATCAAAATAATATAATATCCATGGATGTATAGCAAACGTCTTGTGACTCTTTGGTCTAGCAGTATTGGTATTACTTGACTTACTGATTGTTGTTTATCTCTCGGCTCGAACTGCAACATGACTATTCTTGCCAACTTGCCGAGGATGAGGTTCTTGATGATGGGAGGGACCTTAGTACCTCTGACACCTCTGTGGTAGACATTGAGGGTGACGACTGACAACCCTGAGGCGAATGATACCAAACAGATGCTGACACCGTAGTACATGCCTGTAAAACACAACAAACCAAAAGTAAAAGTTGAGGTTGACGACTGACAACCCTAAGGCGAATGATACCAAACAGATGCTGACACCGTAGTACATGCCTGTAAAACACAACAGACAAAAGTAGACGTTGAGGGTGAGGACTGACAACCCTGAGGCGAATGATACCAAACAGATGCTGACACTGTAGTACATGCCTCTAAAACACAACAGACCAAAAGTAGACGTTAAGTGAGACAACTGATAACCCTGAGGCGAATGATACCAAACAGATGCTGACACTGTAGTACATGCCTGTAAAACACAACAGACCAAAAGTAGACGTTAAGTGAGACAACTGATAACCCTGAGGCGAATGATACCAAACAGATGCTGACACTGTAGTACATGCCTGTAAAACACAACAGACCAAAAGTAGACGTTGAGGGAGACAACTCATAACCCTGAGGCGAATGATACCAAACAGATGCTGACACCGTAGTACATGCCTGTAAAACACAACAGACCAAAAGTAGACGTTGAGGGAGACAACTGACAACCCTGAGGCGAATGATGCCAAACAGATGTTGACACTGTAGTACATGCCTGTAAAACACAACAGACAAAAGTAGACGTTAAGGGTGAGGACTGACAACCCTGAGGCGAATGATACCAAACAGATGCTGACACTGTAGTACATGCCTGTAAAACACAACAGACAAAAGTAGATGTCGAGGGTGACGACTGACAACCCTGAGGCGAATGATACCAAACAGATGCTGACGCTGTAGTACATGCCTGTAAAACACAACAGACAAAAGTAGACGTTGAGGGTGACGACTGACAACCCTGAGGCGAATGATACCAAACAGATGCTGACACCGTAGTACATGCCTGTAAAACACAACAGACCAAAAGTAGACGTTGAGGGTGACGACTGACAACCCTGAGGAGAATGATACCAAACAGATGCTGACACTGTAGTACATGCCTGTAAAACACAACAGACCAAAAGTAGACGTTGAGGGTGACGACTGACAACCCTGAGGCGAATGATACCAAACAGATGCTGACACTGTAGTACATGCCTGTAAAACACAACAGACAAAAGTAGACGTTGAGGGTGAGGACTGACAACCCTGAGGCGAATGATACCAAACAGATGCTGACACTGTAGTACATGCCTATAAAACACAACAGACAAAAGTAGACGTTGAGGGCGACGACTGACAACCCTGAGGCGAATGATACCAAACAGATGCTGACACTGTAGTACATGCCTGTAAAACACAACAGACAAAAGTAGACGTTGAGGGTGACGACTGACAACCCTGAGGCGAATGATACCAAACAAATGCTGACACTGTAGTACATGCCTGTAAAACACAACAGACAAAAGTAGACGTTGAGGGTGACGACTGACAACCCTGAGGCGAATGATACCAAACAGATGCTGACACTGTAGTACATGCCTGTAAAACACAACAGACCAAAAGTAGACGTTGAAGGTGACGACTGACAACCCTGAGGCGAATGATACCAAACAGATGTTGACACCGTAGTACATGCCTGTAAAACACAACAGACCAAAAGTAGACGTTGAGGGTGACGACTGACAACCCTGAGGCGAATGATACCAAACAGATGTTGACACCGTAGTATATGCCTGTAAAACACAACAGACCAAAAGTAGACGTTAAGTTTGACGACTGACAACCCTGAGGCTAGTGATACCAAACAGATGCTGGCACTGTAGTACATGCCTGTAAAACACAACAGACCAAAAGTAGATGTTGAGGGTGACGACTGACAACCCTGAGGCGAATGATACCAAACAGAGGCTGACAATGTAGTACATGCCTGTGAAACACAACAGACCAAAATCAGACGTTGAGGGTGACGACTGACAACCCTGAGGCGAATGATACCAAACAGATGCTGACACTGTAGTACATGCCTGTAAAACACAACAGACAAAAGTAGACGTTGAGGGTGAGGACTGACAACCCTGAGGCGAATGATACCAAACAGATGCTGACACTGTAGTACATGCCTCTAAAACACAACAGACCAAAAGTAGACGTTGAGGGTGACGACTGACAACCCTGAGGCGAATGATACCAAACAGATGCTGACACTGTAGTACATGCCTGTAAAACACAACAGACCAAAAGTAGACGTTAAGTGAGACAACTGATAACCCTGAGGCGAATGATCCCAAACAGATGTTGACACTGTAGTACATGCCTGTAAAACACAACAGACCAAAAGTAGACGTTGAGGGAGACAACTGATAACCCTGAGGCGAATGATACCAAACAGATGTTGACACTGTAGTACATGCCTGTAAAACACAACAGACCAAAAGTAGACGTTGAGTTTGACGACTGACAACCCCGAGGCGAATGATACCAAACAGATGTTGACACCGTAGTACATGCCTGTAAAACACAACAGTCCAAAAGTAGACGTTGAGGGCGACGTTTATAAATTTATAAATTTACATTTGTTGGCAATGAGGTTTTATTGGGGGGGGGGGGGTAAAAATATGGCTTTTGCATTTTCTACCCTCAGAACATAAAATGTCTTTTCAACTCATTTTGTAGAGCTTATACAAACAAATAATTTAGTTGTTGAAGTGTATCTGCGTTTAGTGATCATTATTTTTATTCGCTTAAAAAAACTTTAAATTGTAAATTCCCATGTTATTCCTGGGGAGAATAGGTAAACAGCCCTAGTTTGTTTTTTTATGGATATAATATGTTGATCAAAGTTAGAAAATTTATTTTTTTTACACTGAGATGTTAATATTTTACAAATAACACACTTTATTACCCTCCCTGTAGCAGCAAACTATTTACTCGTCAAACCTAATGTTATTTTAATATAGCGTATTTCAGTGAAAATCAATTCTGGGAAATGGAAATTGTCTTAGTCTGCGGGTGTGCTTCGGTGGGGGTATTTTATTTTAAAACTTAAACTAAACTCGATATGAATCACGTATATTTAAAATATGAATACAAATCTTATGACGCTGAACTGGGCCAACACGAATTAAATGGAATAGCCTTTAGCGAAGTTTCTCTGGTGAAGAAAAAAATCATTTAAAGCGAGATGTTTTTAATCAGAAATATACGCGTGTTTGTTGGGGTTTGTAATGAACACATTTAAATTGTGCTTCGTTTTAAGAACTTAGTTGACTTTATACAATTAACTGGTTTTAAATGGATGTTCTGTATTAAGATTTAAGTTATAAAGCTCTTTTTTGGCAAAGCTATTCAGTAACCAATGAATGTTTAGTGTACGCTATATATGCACGTATTATATCCGTAAACCATCCAAATTAATGCATTGGTTAAAAATATGTATAAGTTAATACTATTGTTTATTGATATACTGAAAAACACCCTTAGTACCTAAATTACCAGTTTCATTTTTATATAAGGTACCACTGACAACCCAAAAGACGTTGACGACTTTATAAAAGCAAAGAGTTTTAGACGGATGGTAGGGGAGCTTAACCAAAAATAATCCATCCACTAGAAGACTTGATGATTAATGGTTTTTTTTACTAACCTTTGTAATAACACTATGGAATGATGATGGAGTAGTTAATACATTTTATACTGATGTATAAAATGTAATTTTACTAAACCGTTCATTTGCAATATACTACCTCAAGCTAAGAAACTTTAACTAGTTGTCGGGAAAGACAAACTCTCAGGAAATACATATCCGAATTTCCTTCGTTTGCGATCCTTTAAATCCCAAACCACTTGCGTATATTACCACAATAGCAGAGATTTATGGCTCTATTTATTTGAGAGAAAAATAATTCAAACGCAATGCACCCCATTTCCCCAACACATTACTGACAAGCGTTTATTGCTGCGCGAGCACTATACGATGCAGCACCCTGTACTTTTTAATGTGTCCTAGTGAAATACGTATAACGTAAAATTACAAATCACCCAGTAGATTTCAAACGTGGATTGAAATTTTAAAGACTTTTTATAAGCTGAACACAAATTGTGTTCGAAAACACAACTTAACTGATTCCGTACAGTATTAATGTAATGCTTATCCAAGTAGATTTTGCTTTGAGTTTACTTTGTGTGTGATTCATGGCGAACACAAACAAACTGAAATTCGGGGAATCAACTGTTGTGACAGTACGGTACTTAATTTGTACGGGATCACATCATTCGTCCGAGTTTTCAACTGTCCGAGTTTGTTAAAAATTACAAAATATTAGAAAAATCAGTTGTCCGAGTTTTGATAAATAACTAATAATATTTAGATAGATCAACTGTCCGAGTTTATAAAATTATTTAAAAAAATATCGAAGTATCAAGTGTCCGAGTTTTCAACTGTCCGAGTAGATTGAGTAGAGTCAACATAAAAAATGTGACACCGCGCGCCTAGACTGGCGTCTCAGGCGCCTGGTCAGAAGCCGATGTAAACCTCTTCTGCGAAGAAGTCTGGCATTGTGCGAGAGATCCTCACGTCGACTTAAGAAAAATTATGTTATATCCTTTTTATATTATCAACAAGTTTGTTTGGTTAGGTTAGGTTAAGACGGTTTAATTTTATAATTAAACATTTACACAAATAATTTTATAATAAAAAATCTATATAATAAAGCCCAAAGTACCCATGAACTTTTTGAGAAAGGTCACACCCCCATAAACCATATACTTAAAATGTTCGTCATGACAAGAAACCTTGCGCAAAACTATCCATTATTTCATAAATTGCCCTTTAAGGTCGTAATTCCTTTCTAAAGGGAACTTTCAATATACCTAACGTTAAAAATAACGCAGCTGTACTTTTTTGTTTGTATTACTGTATTCTGTTTTGTTTATTTCAGCTTCACTTAACCAATCAATAATTTTATTAATACGTATGAAGTCAAACGGGGTGAAGCCCGTTGGTAACAGCTAGTTATAAGTAAACCTTCATTAGATTTTTATCTTTTATATCTTTTTTATATTATCAGTAAGTTTGGTTGGTTGTGTTAGGTGATGAAAGTTTAATTTTATAATTAAAAATAGTAAAATTAGTCCTGTGATAAAAAAATTTTATAATAAAAAAATTATAAAATTAGTTTTATGATAAAAAATTATAAAATTAATTTTATAGTTGTTCTTAAGTCGACGTGAGGGGCTCTCACACACTTGATATTTCGATATTTTTTAAAATAATTTTATAAACTCGGACAAATGAAAACTCGGACAGTTGATTTATCTAAATATTATTAGTTACTTATCAAAACTCGGACAAATGAAACTCGGACAAATGATTTTTCTAATATTTTGTATTGTTTTACAAACTCGGACAGTTGAAAACTCGGACAAATGAACCTCACCCATTTGTACTGCGTCTTTTGAAACTACAGTAGAGTAAATGTAAAGCAACAAACGAATTGTGTAGAATATTTTACACAGTGAACATTTCAGTTCGCGTGATCCTGCGATTGGGACATTGGTGGCAAATATCAGAATCCGATATTGTTTATTTAATTTTCGAGTCTGTTGGTTTAGGCCACAGCTTCGATTGTAGACAGGCGTTTTCACATTTCATAATTAACGATTTTCAGACCATAAATGTTATTACTGACAACTCGTTCTTCTAAACGTAACAATTATGTAACCACAACCACACATATTTTTCATTTTAATTAACAAAGTATTCAAGCGGTGTACATAAAATAAAAGTTGATGCGCTACATTTATCTAACGGATATAGTAATTTTTTTATTCGAATGCAAGTAAAATTATATTCTGCAAGACAAATACCATCAAACCAGCAAGGTTTCATATTCTGTGTTTTTAAGGGGATTTGCCACTGAAAATAGGTAAAAATCTTCATTTCTTTGTACATTGGACCCTATTACATCCAAAAAGTATAATATAATCCATGTCTGAATGTTATTATAAGTTATAAGCAACGGGTTTCGCTCTTTAAGATAGCAAAACAAGATCAAAGGACACCTTCTTATTCAAACGCGGTTTTCCGCAACATTAAAATTTCACTTTTTTTAAAGACAAAATTTGATATACCTTAAAAGCCATTGAAATTTTTACTACTTATTCTAGACAATATTAGGAAAATATTTAGGTAGAATTAGGTATCTAAGTTGATTAGGTACTGAAAAATATTTTTTTTTTTAACTAATTATTTTTTCTAAAGAAAAATTATATTTAATGTGTCACAGGAAAAAAATATCTGAGATATTATTAAGAATCTACCTAAATATTAAGTTAAGATAACTGTGTTTAAAAAAAACACCAAATTTATCAAAATCCATAAAGAACTCTCTTTAAAATATCGACTTTTAAAAACCCTTACAAATTGACCGAAAAACCACTATTTTATTTTTTTGCAACCTATAATTTATATTTAGAAGTATCATATATTATATATTCTATATTCTACATTATACAGGGTGAGTTTCTACTGACCGTGTTAACTTCGCCAGTGGGTTCTACTCACTAAAAGGAACAAAAAAGTTCCTATAAACCCATGTCCGATTTTCGACCGTTTGGCTGTTTTGGGGGATTTTGTGTTTTTCTTATTTTATTAGACTTTGCTCCACAATTTATGTAATAAAAACTTAACCAATTACTTTAGAGAGTTATAGTTTAAATCATTGGAAAGAACATTAAATTTGCTATAAATCAAAGGTTTCATTCAACAATTATACCATTACATAGTCCACGTTATAACCAAAATAAAGTAAAAATGTCCTTAAATTAATTAATTACGATAATTTTCGTGGGCCTCCTTTGATACATAAACCTGCATTTATGCAATGTTGAAATGCATAAAAAACTTGGCATTTTAATAATCTTTCAAATGATATGCTATTCAATACTATTATTGATATAAACCAGTGAGAAATTACTAATAAATTACAATAAAACACGGTTTACAGATTTTGTTTTTGCACAGTTTTACTGTTAATACTCCTGACTGTATACTCCATGATGTATTTTATTGAACTATCTGATAAAGTTTGTACATTATTTTAACTTTTAAATATTTATTAAAATTATCTGAATTAATAAAATGTATAAACTCAAGGTTTTTCACATTTTCAAAGATGTAGTGTGTTTGATTCTTAAATGCTGTGTAATTAGTTTTACCTTGTGCTTGATTAAGTCAGCTTTTATTGATTTGTCATCTATAGCTAGATAACTCAGCTGCTTGAACATACCTTGTTGAGTAATTTGCTGTTTTAACTTTATATTTCCAAGTCAATTAAGAGTTTTTCAACATTTATTAAAATATGGAGCCTTTTACCAATCAAGATTATGCCAACATGATGAATACAGTAATTATTATTAACAGTAAAACTGTGCAAAAACAAAATCTGTAAGCCGTGTTTTACTGTAGTTTATTAGTAATATCTCACTGGTTTATATCAATAATAGTATTGAATAGCATATCATTTGAAAGATTATTAAAATGCCAAGTTTTTTATGCATTTCAACATTGCATAAATGCAGGTTTATGTATCAAAGGAGGCTCATGAAAGTTATCGTAATTAATTAATTTAATGACATTTTTACTTTATTTTGGATATAACGTGGACTATGTAATGGTATAATTGTTGAATGAAACCTTTGATTTATAGCAAATTTAATGTTCTTTCCAATGATTTTAACTACAACTCTCTAAAGTAATTGATTAAGTTTTTATTACATAAATTGTGGAGCAAAGTCTAATAAAATAAGAAAAACACAAAATCCCCCAAAACAGCCAAACGGTCGAAAATCGGACATGGGTTTATAGGAACTTTTTTGTTCCTTTTAGTGAGTAGAACCCACTGGCGAAGTTAACACGGTCAGTAGAAACTCACCCTGTATATTCTTAGTTAGCATTTAGAAGTAAACCAAAATTTTTAAATTTTTTGTTAAATTATACCCTACTAGAAATAAAATTGTGTGACGACTTTCCTCATTAAATAAAAATAATCACCCTTTTCAGTGGCGAATCCCCTTACGTAATACATTGATACGTTTATTATTAAGTAATTATAAAATTGTATTTTTCGCTAAGCAATTATGTCTCTGACAGATGATACCAAGTTTAAAATAGCGTGTAGAGTATTTATAACAAATCGATATACCGTGAAATGTAAAAATGAGGCTTTTGCACACTGTAGTGAAAGTAACGTACCGTGCATGGAATAACAATTGGAGTATATTACGCATGGTATATCATAGTGTGTATAGTCTGGTACTCACTAATGAGTGGAGTCTTCTCCGTAGGTGGAAGAGTCTCCCTTATGGTCATGAGGAAGACAGTCATACTGAGCAGCGCGCTTATACCTAACGTCACCTTCTCGCCGGACTCGGACGGCACATAGAACACCAACAACGCTGTAAACCAGGAACATGTACACAGCTCAGCTAAGCTATAGACACTCGGGTATTGGCTGAATAGCAATTCCCCAATCCCTAGTTAACTCTTAGAATAAAATAGCATGCAAGATTATTATGATTTCAGAATTTACTTTCAATAAATTTATACTCTAATACAAACAACACTATTAGTATGCAAATTAATTCATGGATATCTATAAAACTCAGTAATTATTCAAATTTATTAAAAAAAATCAATAATGGTTTTAAGTCAAAATAAAATGCATGAAATTACCGTTTGCACTTGATATCCTACTTCATATTTAACAAGTTTGCACGTGTTTGTTGGAAATGAAATGAAAAGAGGACTGGAACGACCAGCAGTAATGTGGTATTACTACCCTTATTTTTCTACAAACTAGGGTGTGTTTGGTCTACACATTTTACTGACCTATACAGTTAATGAGTATACACGGAAGTATGAGATTGAAGACGTAGAACATGGGGCGGCGGCGTAGTCTGATGACGTATGTGATGTCTGGGTACGGCTCGGGACAGCACGAGTAGAACTCGACGTGTTTCACAGGTTCGAAACTAACAAGATCGAACTCGCCGTTGGCTTGATAGTTGCTCACGTCTCCCTCCTCAGTCTGCTTCACTAGGTCGAGCTGGAATAATGTTTCGGGAATGTAAAATCTTACAGTATTAAGACTGTTGTTAGAGCACAATGCTGCAAGAACCACATCAGCATTTGTTGTCTTATTAAATCAAAGGGCTTTCACATTACCTTCAAGTTGTGGATATCTAGCTTTACGTTGACATAATCACCACCTTACCTTACCTTGCCCCGTAGGATAGTGTTAACGTGACAATATTCTGTGTTAATTGATAAATAAATAAGCTGTTTCCTATGCTACAGCATTTATTTTTAATTTCTATTTAACTCAATACACTAGTACCCTCTGGTGAAATTGTTCTGAAAAATAGTATATTTCGTAAATTTTAGGGCCAAAAAATTAGGTTTTGCGTGCTCGAGATCATTTTTTGAACTTAAAACGATCGAAAGCTGCAAAACCCTTTCGGCAAGAGGTGTGAACACTATTTTTCACCACACTATACAAAATTGAGAAAAAAAAACTAAATGCACACTAAGAGTTAACACAACTGCAACTTTAAGGTTATGTGAAGAATTTAGAGGACTCGGTAAAAATAATAAGAAATTGTTGCTGAGCAGCGGTGACTATAAAATAAGTCTATTGAATGCATATGGATACAGCTTGTGTATTAAATGTAAATAATTAATACACTAAGTAAATAAGTGAACAGTTGATTACACTAGGGCCGCAAAAACATGCTCGATCCCCAAATGACAATGACAGCTGGCATGTACAGCAGCAATACGTAGCTTTCAGCCTCCAATTAACGGTTGTAAAACGGCTAAACATCGTAGTGTGATAAAACCTGTATATTGCTATTTTATTTTAACATTATATGAAACGATGGAATTTTATGCAAAACAATCCACAGTACTGAAGTTTAATTTTGTAATTTTACACTTAACTATATATTTAAAAACTTTTTATTATAATAATAGGACATATATGTAATGGGCATTTTACTTTAATTAATAAACATATTGTTTGATTAATTGTAACAAAACAAACTATTGTAGGGGTCAAAGAAAATACTGTAACCTTGATGAGTGACATAACTTTCAATAATCGGAAAAGCAACCATCAATGAGAGTAATACATAGGATTTTTTAAATAACGATCTCAGAAAAGCACAACTTTATGGTAACAAATAGTGACTGTTTTTTAGCATGTTACTAAAAGAACCAGTTAAATTAATATATTATTGATCTCATTATTAATTAAATGGTCCTGTATTAAAGGAGGAATATTTACAATACGAAAATGGTTCAATTTACGTAAGAGAACTTTTTTTCTAATTGTTAGTTTTGACGTAATTTCTCACGACATTGGGAACATAAAACCAGTATATTTACCACTAAGTCCACTCCGTTTGTATCTACGATCCAAGAGGTATCTTGGATGAGTAGGGCATTCCATTTCCCCCCTGGCTTGTATGGTTTGTTTTGTGTTATTGTAATGTTCACCAGATACCCGTTGTAAATCCAGGAGACCCACTTCATGATGCAGCTCTGGATGTCGAAGGGGAAGTACTCCACGTCAATGTCACACGAGCTGTGGTAGATGCCGTGACTGAGCCAAACCACCTCACCAATGCTGCTCACTATCAAGTTAAACTGTTATAGTCTCTATGTGTAGTGTCTGTGGTGTTTACCTGATACCCGTTGTAAATCCAGGAGACCCACTTCATGATGCAGCTCTGGATGTCGAAGGGGAAGTACTCCACGTCAATGTCACACGAGCTGTGGTAGATGCCGTGACTGAGCCAAACCACCTCACCAATGCTGCTCACTATCAAGTTAAACTGTTATAGTCTCTATGTGTAGTGTCTGTGGTGTTTACCTGATACCCGTCGTAGGTCCAGGAGGCCCACTTCATGTTGCAGCTCAGGATGTCGAAGGGGAAGTACTCCACGTCAATGTCACACGAGCTGTGGTAGATGCCGTGACTGAGCCAAACCACCTCACCAATGCTGCTCACTATCAAGTTAAACTGTTATAGTCTCTATGTGTAGTGTCTCTGGTGTTTACCTGATATCCGTCGTAGGTCCAAGAGGCCCACTTCATGTTGCAGCTCTGGATGTCGAAGGGGAAGTACTCCACGTCAATGTCACACGAGCTGCGGTAGATGCCGTGACTGAGCCAAACCACCTCACCAATGCTGCTCACTATCAAGTTAAACTGTTATAGTCTCTATGTGTAGTGTCTGTGGTGTTTACCTGATACCCGTCGTAGGTCCAGGAGGCCCACTTCATGTTGCAGCTCTGGATGTCGAAGGGGAAGTACTCCACGTCAATGTCACACGAGCTGCGGTAGATGCCGTGACTGAGCCAAACCACCTCACCAATGCTGCTCACTATCAAGTTAAACTGTTATAGTCTCTATGTGTAGTGTCTCTGGTGTTTACCTGATATCCGTCGTAGGTCCAGGAGGCCCACTTCATGTTGCAGCTCTGGATGTCGAAGGGGAAGTACTCCACGTCAATGTCACACGAGCTGCGGTAGATGCCGTGACTGAGCCAAACCACCTCACCAATGCTGCTCACTATCAAGTTAAACTGTTATAGTCTCTATGTGTAGTGTCTGTGGTGTTTACCTGATACCCGTCGTAGGTCCAGGAGGCCCACTTCATGTTGCAGCTCTGGATGTCGAAGGGGAAGTACTCCACGTCAATGTCACACGAGCTGCGGTAGATGCCGTGACTGAGCCAAACCACCTCACCAATGCTGCTCACTATCAAGTTAAACTGTTATAGTCTCTATGTGTAGTGTCTGTGGTGTTTACCTGATATCCGTCGTAGGTCCAGGAGGCCCACTTCATGTTGCAGCTCTGGATGTCGAAGGGGAAGTACTCCACGTCAATGTCACACGAGCTGCGGTAGATGCCGTGACTGAGCCAAACCACCTCACCAATGCTGCTCACTATCAAGTTAAACTGTTATAGTCTCTATGTGTAGTGTCTGTGGTGTTTACCTGATATCCGTCGTAGGTCCAGGAGGCCCACTTCATGTTGCAGCTCTGGATGTCGAAGGGGAAGTACTCCACGTCAATGTCACACGAGCTGCGGTAGATGCCGTGACTGAGCCAAACCACCTCACCAATGCTGCTCACTATCAAGTTAAACTGTTATAGTCTCTATGTGTAGTGTCTGTGGTGTTTACCTGATATCCGTCGTAGGTCCAGGAGGCCCACTTCATGTTGCAGCTCTGGATGTCGAAGGGGAAGTACTCCACGTCAATGTCACACGAGCTGCGGTAGATGCCGTGACTGAGCCACACTACTTCACCGTTGCTGCTCACTATCAAGTTAAACTGTTATAGTCTCTATGTGTAGTGTCTGTGGTGTTTACCTGATATCCGTCGTAGGTCCAGGAGACCCACTTCATGATGCAGCTCTGGATGTCGAAGGGGAAGTACTCCACGTCAATGTCACACGAGCTGTGGTAGATGCCGTGACTGAGCCAAACCACCTCACCAATGCTGCTCACTATCAAGTTAAACTGTTATAGTCTCTATGTGTAGTGTCTGTGGTGTTTACCTGATATCCGTCGTAGGTCCAGGAGACCCACTTCATGATGCAGCTCTGGATGTCGAAGGGGAAGTACTCCACGTCAATGTCACACGAGCTGTGGTAGATGCCGTGACTGAGCCAAACCACCTCACCAATGCTGCTCACTATCAAGTTAAACTGTTATAGTCTCTATGTGTAGTGTCTGTGGTGTTTACCTGATATCCGTCGTAGGTCCAAGAGGCCCACTTCATGTTGCAGCTCTGGATGTCGAAGGGGAAGTACTCCACGTCAATGTCACACGAGCTGCGGTAGATGCCGTGACTGAGCCAAACCACCTCACCAATGCTGCTCACTATCAAGTTAAACTGTTATAGTCTCTATGTGTAGTGTCTGTGGTGTTTACCTGATATCCGTCGTAGGTCCAGGAGACCCACTTCATGATGCAGCTCTGGATGTCGAAGGGGAAGTACTCCACGTCAATGTCACACGAGCTGCGGTAGATGCCGTGACTGAGCCAAACCACCTCACCAATGCTGCTCACTATCAAGTTAAACTGTTATAGTCTCTATGTGTAGTGTCTGTGGTGTTTACCTGATATCCGTCGTAGGTCCAGGAGGCCCACTTCATGTTGCAGCTCTGGATGTCGAAGGGGAAGTACTCCACGTCAATGTCACACGAGCTGCGGTAGATGCCGTGACTGAGCCAAACCACCTCACCAATGCTGCTCACTATCAAGTTAAACTGTTATAGTCTCTATGTGTAGTGTCTGTGGTGTTTACCTGATATCCGTCGTAGGTCCAGGAGGCCCACTTCATGTTGCAGCTCTGGATGTCGAAGGGGAAGTACTCCACGTCAATGTCACACGAGCTGCGGTAGATGCCGTGACTGAGCCAAACCACCTCACCAATGCTGCTCACTATCAAGTTAAACTGTTATAGTCTCTATGTGTAGTGTCTGTGGTGTTTACCTGATATCCGTCGTAGGTCCAGGAGGCCCACTTCATGTTGCAGCTCTGGATGTCGAAGGGGAAGTACTCCACGTCAATGTCACACGAGCTGCGGTAGATGCCGTGACTGAGCCACACTACTTCACCGTTGCTGCTCACTATCACGTTTGTGTTGATCACTGCCGAGCTGTACTGCGAGTCAGCACTACAACAAATTTTAAGTTTTGACGTACCACGCAATATTTATCAGTGTATTATGCCTTGATTAGTTTTGTAAGAATTAACTGTCGGTTTTTAATAGCTTACTAAATAATTTCTGTATATAGTCAATGATAATACTGATCCCTCAAATGTAAGGTTTATAAATCGTGTTAACCGAATTTCCCCCATAGAGACAATGCTGTTACCGAAGGGTAGGATTTAGACCCAGGATCCTTTTACCTTTTCATTTTGATAACCTCAGAAACCAAAAGCACTACTTTAATCGTTAGAATTTATACTTATATAGTTTTTTTATGCAATTTGGTATGCGTGTGTAAGGCTGGATACTCATCCAGTTGCCTGAATTGATTTTCAATTAAATGTATTTAAATGGCAACCCATAATGTACATGTTAATAAAAAAAATATCAAATTCATTTTTCGTGCTTATTTTTTAGCCTATTTTAATTTATAAGGAGATCCTGCACATCTACAGGAAAATATCTTTCATTTGGTACCAAACGGGTGTAATTCGGCCCAGTAGTATGGTCAGGCTAGCTGTAAATTTAAAATATTTTTGTTATTCTCGTGGAGAAAAAGTTAACTCTTGTAGTTTGCTTGTTTGTGAATAAATGTTAATCAAATAAGGCGAATTTATTGATTTCATGCTATGCTATTGACAGTCCGAGCAGTAAATCTAAGTACTCGTTAAATCTAATATTTTGTTATGGGGATGAATTTAAAATGCTTGTAGTTAATTTGGTAAAAAATTTAATTAGACAAATTAATGAGGATTCGCTTAGTTTACAGGTTTGCTGTGGTGGAACGATTTTGTATGACATCTTTATGGTTTAAAATGTTTTGGTGGAATAGAAATAGCCGTCTAATGATTTATATTGCATTTTTTATTGAAATTTAAGATTCGGGTGCAGGTAATTTAAAAATTAAGCTTTCGAGATATACGGATATATTTTACTATCAGAAAGTTTTCCCCGTTCCAGTCTCATAATCAAATCCAAAAGAAATTGATATGAATAAATTAGTGCTTTAATAAGAAAATGTATTTTAAGCTAGAAGTATACTTTGCAATTAATTGAAAATATAAAAAATCAGCAAACCAAAGCCCCGGAAAATCGGGAGTAAATTTAGTTACCGACTCGTGGTAACTGTAGCTGTTAGTAAAAATTAGTAAATGAAGCCGACTAGTAAAAAGTACTCTTTCTTCCAGTATTATCACGTTTTACATATATTAAATCGAAGACGGTCAACTTTAACTATTATAATTCGATTACATTTCTGCAATAGTTTCTAATTAAAGGTCTTTGTAGCAGGCTCTGCAATATTCAAACGCTATTACAAAATTTACAAACTAAGCTACACAAAAGCGTTCAAAGTGAAACTTTTTCGTGGGGTTCATGTACAGTGTAAAGAGTAGTAGATTAATTTATGTATGTTTACAATATTGTCCTATTGTAAAAAAAGATTATTCATTTCTACAAAACACCACTACGAACTACAATTATATCTTATTATTAATCTTAACTGACTATAAAATCTTAAGATCTTATGAATACCTTGAACATCTGGTATTGATTAAAACAGAAAACAATTCTTTTTAACTTTGAACCCAACAATCGACGTTTTTGTGTTGAGTAGTCTGTGATTGTGACAGAAACGGCTACTGTATGCTGTGATGTGTGGTATACCTCATGTATGACTTTCATCTGAACTATCCCTAGGCTAACGGGTCTCTGCATTGCAACTTATCCACTAAACTGTCTACTGACTTGTTATACAGGATGGTATCGGGTTTCCAGACTCTGTTGTAAGGCACTCTTATCACTTTAATCCCTGCAAAGTCTGACGCGTTCCACTTGAGGTGATGGTCCTCCCAGATCTGAGTCAGCCAGCAGTTCGTCGTGAGGATCTGATTTTTTTCATCCTGGAATAAAAACATTGGCTAAAAATAACCAATAACGTAATAAGTAATACTAACATTTTGATAAATTTAAATATTTACCGTGTCAAACTATTTTTAAGTACTCTCACAAAGTCTTGATACATAGAAGTGTTGTGACAAAATTAGTTTATAACTATGTAAGTTTAAATGAAGAAAGACTCTGCACTCTTAAAAAGAGAAAATACAGGTACATTAAACCTACATATTAAAAAATTATTATTAAGAAAGACATATATTTAAAAGCCCGTAACTTTATTAAATTCGCAAATATATTTCGTATTTGATTTTCTTTTTTTAAAAACGAACCATTATTAAGATGCACAATGGGCTAAAATACTTTGAAAAGAAATACAGTAACAACAAAGCACGTTTGATTTAACCCAATCTTTCTTTCCTTTCTAACAAAGGGAATATTTATGTTGCTTTTTAAGACCTCACTTTTAAAAGAGTTAAAAGTTCTGAATGAAATAAGTTTCAAAATGCTGACTCTTATTACAAGTTAAGGACTTTTGTTAGTGTCCATCTATTTTGATACCTTAACTTAAAAGGGGACACCTAATATTGACCTTGCATGTAAACTGTGTGTCCAACATTAAAATGAACTACTGTTCAGTAAAGCTTCAGTTACTGTACAATCTACTTGTATTATAATTCAGTTTTAAAAATCTTTGCACAACTAAATCAGTTCTACTGGACTGATTTTATTAATTAATGGGTCGTTGGAAAGCTTAATTCGTGTGGATTTGCAAATAACTATAACAAGTTTGTTTTTGTAATGGTTTATGTTGAAAAAATATACAAAAACATGTTTTCCATCAGAAATACATTGAAAACAGTGTTTTCACACCTTTTTTTATTTGGGTGCGACGTTTGGCTGCTTTTTTTGAGTATTTCAAAGAAGAGCATGGTATCAATTTATAGGAAATTTTATTCTCTTTCAGAATATTGCCTTCCACTTTGGTCGATTTCCTCACCATTTAAAAGTAATTTGCAAAAAAGCTAAGCAACCTCCGAATTTTTAGCAATTAGAAAATACTGAGTTAGGGATACTTTTGTTAAACTTTGTACAACTAAATCTAGACTTCTACTGGACCGATTTTGATAATTAATGGGTCATTGGAAAGTCTAATTAATGCAAATTTGCAAATAGTTATGAAAGTGTGTTTTTATTAAATATTTGTGGTGAAAAAGTAAAAATAACAAAAACACATTAATAACTGCTTTTTTCAAGTTTATGTTTTTAAACTTTCTATTTGTAGCCAGTTTTTGGCTGCCTTTATTAAGTGTTTTCAAGAAATGTATAGTAGTTATTTGTAGTACATTTTATTGACTTTCAGAATATCACATCCACTTGGTCGATTTCTCCAACATTTAAAAGTTATTGGCGATAAGCTAAGTGATCTCCAAATTTATAGGGGTGAGAAAATACTGAATTAGATATATTTTTGTTTAACTTTGTACAACTAAATCTAGAGTTCTACTGGGCCGATTTTGTTACTTAGTGGGTCGTTGGAAAGCCTAATTCATGTAGATTTGCAAATAATTATGAAAGTTTGATTTTGTAAAGATTTTACTAGGTGAAACCCGTCAAAGTCGACAGTTTCTGTCGAGGTTGCAAGCAAGATCGTTTAACTATAAATCGATGATAAATAACTCCTATTTTATTTTTATTTTGGGTTATTCGTGATTTAGCAGTGTGATTTAGGTACGTCCGATCTTAATACTGTAATCAATAATTCCAATGGAAGCTGGTATTTCACTGAAGGTTCTTAGGTCAAATCAAATAGAATAACGTAATTAGAATTTATTACATATATCTAAAAATAAATCCTATATCCAAGATATAATCAAATTAATGTTTTGTGATTGAACCATACATTATCTTTAAATAACTTCTTGATCAGCATTGTACGTGTTATTAAATTTACGGAAAGTAAATAAAAGAAACGTCTCATAACACTTAAAGCATATATTTACGCTTATACTGTTACTCACAAGACGGTAAATATACAAAAAAGATGGTAAGTGGTGATCGATTTCGATTGGACACTCCAATCATCATCAGACCCATTCGCCTATTGCGTTGAAGCGTAATAACGTTGTAAACGTTATAACACTATAATATTTAGCCCTCAAACCCTACACATGTAGAGTACGCAGTAAATGCGAGTAAGAAATAAGCTTGTTATAAGATATGTTTAAAAGCCCATGGTCAACCAATTAAACATGTTAGAGCTCTTTCGTAAAACATGTTACATCCGATGAATCTTAATTTCACTTGAACTTGTTTGGATAGTAAGCATAAACCTTTAGGTTCGTGATTAAATTTTATTTTAGTTACTCGAAAAGGACGATTTTTTATAACATATTATAAATATATTTAGGTAACAACAGAGAATTGAGTTCTGGAAATATCAATAATAAACTAGGTGAAACCCGTCGAAATCGACGGTTAGGGGCCTCCTCGTTTATATGGTCGTGTAGCTTCATTGGCAACAAATAATGTAAATGAAATAGCAATGTGGCATATCCTAAGCGAAAAACATACTGTAAATTGGCTGTTACGTAAATATTGACATTTACATGCATTGTTAATCAACGTATCTTATAAAGGATTTAAAAGGAATATGACCTTTCTGTCATGACAGTAGCTGCTTAAATAGTATTTACTCTTACAGCCAAAATATCGTGTTACTTTCAATAATGTTACCAACCCAGTGAGCCACGGTCCGTAATATAGACCAAACTGCAAATAATTTGTCAAAATAGGTACCATTTTAGGCAAGGTTTGTGTGTTTGGATGTTATTAGACACGTTAAGAGCACACTGAACTTCTTCTGCAGATGAATAACTGTTGGAGAAATACAAGCCGAATCATAAATGTCACAATGTGAGTTTGAGTTTTAGGCTGCTGCTTAGTGCACTTTAAGAATATATTTTTTAGAGATAAATTAAATTGTTTTTGTTGCTGAGTAGCGCCAGTAAACATGCACAACACTTTTTTCGTTAAGCTAGTAACATTCAAAGGACCTCGAAGAGTTCAAGAAAATAACATTGCAAAAAATACTTCCTTTGGACAATTCAGTAACTCTCAATAAGTGTTTGTTGTTTAAAATACAATTTAAAAATTAACAGTTAGTTGTTTCATAAAAAACAAAAATTATTATCCACATGGCCAAAATGTAAACAAATCTGTGGAGGGATCTTTAAAGGCTTCTGGGGCAGAGCCCTAAGGGAATTTACTTCGTTTTTCTTTTGATAACTCATCTACAGACCAAGACCGTTCTTTGGACACCTCTACCAAGTTTCTACGCCCAGTCGTTCTCTTAAATTATCGGAGGAAAAGTTTCTAATTAAATATTTAGATTCCCCCATGTTAATATTATGGGAGAAAACCCAACTTTGATGGAAAATCCAGTCCAAACTAATAAAGATTTCAAAAAAATAAAAACACTTTGCAAAACTACAGATCAGGGCCATTCTTTTGACACTTTAATCATCAAAATCGGTCCAAAAATGAGGGAGGAGTTCTGTTTACAAAAATCGGCTTAGCGTATTATATATATGGATATCAACAAATAAATGCATGGAATGATTTTAGGCAATATTTTTTTGGGGGATAATGGTGAATGTAAAAACTTATTAAAAACTGTTTTAGCGAATTTCCCGATTTACTTTTTCATTTTGATGTCCCCAGACCCAAAAAAGACCAACCGATATAATTTATGTACATATATTTTTGTGTATCCATTAGCACGATAGCTCAAGCAAAGATCATCCTTGATAACATTTGGGTCAAACATGTAAACCTACGTTTATTCGAACGAGCTCGCCAACCAGCATGATCGGACCATGGGAACGGGGTTTTATGTTTATACTGTACATTGTTTATTTTTTATTTATGACCCTCAATACGTGAAATTCCTCAGTTTCCCTCAAAGCTATTTAGTAGAGCTTCAAAAACTAGTAATTTAGTATCTTGAAGTGTTTTTGTACGGTTATTGGTTACGGATAAAATATAAAAAATTAGTATACAAAGAATTCATATGTTATTCTCATGGAGAATCAATAAACTGCTGTAGTTCACTTGTTTATAGACATATTTTGATCAAACTTGGCTAATTTATTTATTTTAAACTAAGGTAATAATATTTTACAAAAAATCAAATATTACCCTCCCTGTAGCAGCGAACCTAGGTTCTCCCAGGAAAATTGATTCGGGAAAATGAAAATTCGCTTAGTCTGCAGGTTTGCTGCGGAGGGGGTATTCCTAGCTACAACTACAAATACCATGTTTTGCTAGTGTGTAGCTTAATTTGTTTGCTTTTTCAATTAGTTATTTTGTTTGTTGAAAACATTCTATCGTTGTATCAATATTAACTGTTATAAATGAAATATTCAAAATTACATAGTCAAATATTACAAGCTAGGACACAATGCGTTTGTGTAGTACTTGAACATTTTTCATACTATTGAGATAGTTATTTTATAATACAAAAAAACATTATCCTACATCTTAATAATAGGATGAAGTTCGATATACTTAATTTTGGATATCGTTGTTGTCATTATACTTTATAAAATAGAAACTAGAGAAAAAGTAAAGCTGATTTGAGTTAAATAAACAAAAGAGATTTAATAATATAATACAACCAATTTTCATCGTAAGATATTCTTTTGTTAGTAATAGCAGTTAAAGGTCTTCTTTTGAAAATAATCCCAGGAAAATCCGAGAAGAATAGCTAGTGGGGCAGATAGGTCAGTTGTGCCGCAGATAATAGAGAGATTGAGTGTCTCTTTCAGCCAAAGGAATTAGAGAAACATCAAGTCTGTAGATTATTCATTATTAGGGTTCGTTTCCCTTAAACGAATAGTTTTAATTACTTCAATCTATTTCATATACATGATTTATACTGTTAATTAAAAAGAAAATAATATTGTATTTTATATTTACCACACTAACCTATACGTTCTGATCGGGTTAATGATCGTAAATTCTCATGTTTAGGGTTGGTAAATCATAATTTAATTTATTAATTTAATATTCATATCGATTTTAAGGACATATTTTCAGTCTAGGTAATATTCATATTTCTATGAATATATTAGATCTTACAATATTTATGATCCCTTATTTTATGTGGATTATATTTGGTCATCCAGCAGTCCCAGTTGCTTGTCTAAAGGACAATGGAAGGATTCTTAACAGTTTTCCCAGGTTTTATCGTTAAAAACTTACTTTCTAAAATCTGAATTGTAGTTCTTCTCAAATAGTGAGAGATTTGTTAACACTCAGCTTTAATAAGGTACTGCCAAGGAATAAAATGGCAGTTATGTATACAAACAATACTTCATCTATGCTACTGTATTCTCTGATTTCAACAGAAGTTTTAAGTATTAAATCTTAATTATCGGTTTAATATATAAAAAGTTTGACATTAGGTAGTAGAAACACCGTTGGCGTGACCGTTCCCTAAAACAAACGTAAAACTTGCCAATGACAAAATAAAATATAAATAATGCAAAAAACATCAAAGAGTAAAAGGCAGCTTAAATTATACGTGGTTAAAATTTCCTAGAATGTAGTTATAATTTTAGACATGTTCATCTTAGTCTCCCCCCAATAAATAATTTAACCCACCCCCCACAACAGTTATAAAAACCTTATTCGTTGTGCTAAGCACTTAAAATCATTCACAGTTATTAGTCCTCGGTTAAAAATAAGGTAATTTAGAAAAGTATACCAAATTTAACCCCCCTAATATTTATGTATCAAAAGCACTTCAGGTGCATTGGACTAAATTATTATAGACAGGCTACTTGACACGTAGCAGGATTGTTGCATTAATTTTCAACACCTAAAGTCTTTAAATCTTAACGTAATATTTATTTGCCGACCCCCTCCCTCCTCACAAATAAAGAGAAACCCCCCATTAATACTTAACTTTTTAATTATTTAACTGCTTAAATTGTGATGGAGACTTAAGAAATGCTGATGCACTTGAAGTGCTAAGAACTTGAAATTTAGCACTCTTCTTGGTCTTGGGCAAAACCCCCGGGAAGATTCTCACTAGTCTCATTTTCAAATTTTCATCCCCTAGTAATTTATAATTTCCCCCAATGTTGTTCTTATGCGGAATAAGCTCAGAAGTAGCTTACTTTGGTATGTTGAACTGAACCTTTTATAAACGTGCTATAAACATGAAATTTGCCAAGGATGTAGGTAGTAAGTAATTTAATAAGGCACCACCCAACCAAGGGGGCCTTGTGAGTATGTAGTTAAAATTTCAGACATGTTCATCTTAGTCTACAGCAAGTTGTACAAACTCACAACATCAATAATGTGATGCAAGGAGATACCGAAGATGACCTTGAGAGGGATGGAGGAGTTCTCCACTGGTCTGACGGAGGCATCGTAGTTGGACATGAGGTACTTGGTGAGACGATACTCCTGCTCGTCCGCCATCACTGTCAAACATCAATATATCATTAGAGCCATTTCTTGAACGGTAAATTATCTTGTTTTAAAAACGTCAATTTGTCCCTAAAACGTTACTGGCCTGAATCCTTTACTAATAACATTAACATGTGAAGCATTTGTACGTTTCCGTTTGAATATTAATACAAACATGTTTAATTTCAGGCCAATGGTGTCATTATTTTAAGTTTATGATCAATATATTCGGTTTCTGTTCATTATGTTAATGTGCCTACGGTGTAGTCATAGATGTTTACTTCGGAGAGTTTACCAAACTTCATCTTAAATTGAACATTTTCTTATAGATATGTTATCGTTATGGATAAGTTAAACACAGATAGGTGCAACTTTATAGAATGTAAGCAAATTTGAATATATTACACAGAAAGTACGTACAATGCCAATAGTTGTATAAATGATGTGAGAATGTTCTAAATGTTCTAATGATCTTTTTTTTCTATTTCGTTGCATTCAGTTCAACCTTCTTCATGTAAATTTTGTGAGAGACATTCCCTTATTTATCCATGATTTGGTAAATAAATAAAAGGAACAAGTACTTTGTTAGATCTAATTGTCTTCGCAAGAAGTTTTAATTAAGCCAGTAGATAACCAGGTTTGATATCTAAGAAAGGGAACTTTGAATTTAACTACAATAGGCCTGCTGTGGTTATCATTACTGTGTCTGGCTATTATTGTCACTATAGTTCACCAAAACTAGTTTAATCAGACAAACATAGTCTCATCAAACTTCACACAAAATGTCGGATCAAACATGAAACCTTCATGGAGGTAGAGAAATGAGTACAATCTCGCTTGAGACATTACTTCTAAACCTTTTGAGAAAAACCTCAAAATTTAGTGTACTCAATCTTGTGCTGGATAGGGGTGAAAATTTATGGATTGCTACAAAAAAATAAAAACAAAGGAAAAGTTAAGAAGAAAGTATAAATATATCTTGAATGTAATTTTGTATTTTTTAATCATCGAAGCCATCGACAAAGCCAAGTCTCTAACATGTAATGCCCTCTGAAACTTCTTAATTGGTCTTGTTCGGAATGAGAGCCATTTGTTCCCAACTTTTAACGGAGGACACACTAACTTCTCTTAAAATAGTTAAATAAATTAAACAATTTGCAATTTTCTATGGCCATTGTTGTCTTAAAATGCTTATCTTTATGACTAACATAACATTCCTTTTTCCTCAACTATTTTGCAGCTATAAACTTGTCACTTACGTGATAAAGCTATTTTTGTTTCAGTGTTTCAGGGTTCTAAAGCTATGTATGAATTCACTTGACTCTTAAACATAGCTTTAGAACCCTGAAACACAGGATCTTTTGTTACTTTTTGGTATGAGACTATATTGTACTATGACTATATGAGACTATATTGGTTGATATTGTAAAATGCACCGGTACGTAAGAATCCTAATAAAGCCCATATGTATTTTGAAGCACACTAAATCGAAACTCTAGCATAAAATATATTAATTACAACATATTTCAAACCAAGATGTTTTTCAATAATTACATTATTAAAACGTTCATTTTGAAATAGTATATCATAAACGTTTCACACTCATGAATTATGCATCCATATTTGCGTTGGTGAAACTGTAAGATGTAAACAGTCTTGAATATAAGAAGTGTGTTAGAACAGCCAAACCCACACTTTAAATGCGGACGAATTAATCACAACATAGTGTCTGTTGAGCATTCCTACACAAGCAATTTATCCTAATGAGTTAAAGAGTTATGTTTAGGACAAAAGAAAATATAATAAGGTAGGCTGAATACTGTATACACATTTTACATCGGAAAATATAATTGTGGATTATTTCGTCGTGTTTATATAGGTATTGTATGTATTTCTAGGTTTGAAAGAAATATTATAACACAAAAAATATTTTTTGCTGCTTATGACATGTCAAACTCGTGATTAATGAACGGTTCAATCAATTATTTTTAATTTATGTTATAAAAAAATAATCCTAAAAAAGTACAACAATGATCATTTAGAGAAAAAAGTTTAAATAAGTGGAAGTGTTAAACTGTTAATTTTTAAATTAGGTTCTGTAATAAAATTTTATTAGCGAAAAAAATATGTTTGAAGTTTGAAGTTGTTTGTTTGTTTGAAGTTCAATCACGCATTAACTACTGGTCGGATTGTGTTGAAATTTGGTATGATTATAGCTCACATTCCGATTAACATATAGACATATTCTTACCTCAAAAATCCCTTCGGGCTCCGCCCCAGCGGCTCTAGAGTTTCCCATGTTAACCTTATGAGTATTCATGTTTAAAAGGAACTAGCTGTAACCCGCGGGTTTTGCCCCGTTTAACTTCTTAATTTTCAAGATGATCTCGTTCGCATGGCTCAATCACGTCCTGGTTGAAGTTCGTTCGCTACGCTCACTCACCTTAAGGTTGGAGCTCGTTCGCTGCGCTCACTTGCCTTCAGGTTAGCTCGTTCGCTACGCTAACTCGCCTCCAGGTTGAAGTTCGTTCGCTACGCTCACTCACCTTTTGGTTGCAAATTAGCTGTTGTCATAAATGTAAAAGAAATAATAGTGCTGCACCCTGTTGGTAATCCTTGTAACTTTATTGCTATTGAACATCATAGAACAGAACCAACTTGTTTAATTGAAACAGCTGTTAAGATTCATTAATTCCATTTCTCATAAGGTTAACATGGGAAACTCCAGAGCCACTGGAGCGGAGCCGATTGGACGGATCACGAAATTGATGGTGTATAAACCTATTCCATGAAATTCTACACGTATGTACCAAGTTTCGTGGCAATCGGTTCAGCGGTGTCTGAGTTTATCACTGCCAACCAAATATATATACAAACATCATCTTTTATACTTATTAATTAAATAATTTTGCCAGCTGTTTCAACAACACGATTTGTTTCTATGATATTCAATAGCATTAAAATGTTCTACGGTTTACCAACAGGGTGCAGCACCGTTAGTTCTTTATACATTTATGACAACAGCTAATTTGAACCAAGCAGCAACAAAAACCTGAGTTTGAGAACTTTACTTCTTTCTATTGTTTCAATGAAGTGGTAGAACATTATGGCTATGGTAGATGTTCTATATACTATAGTATACCGTAGATTATAGTAAAGCAAATTTTCTCAAAACGTGTCCTCTCTCATTGTAAATGCAAAGCACGAGTATTTAACTACAATAAGCATTGTATACCAACCCCGTACGAAGGACGGGTACTCATCTAGTTCTCCATAAGAATAACATAAGAATGTTAAATTTAAATATTTTTTGGAATTTCTCCGTAACCATTAGGCGTATAATATACTAAATTATTTGTATTTCTAAGCCCAAAAAAATGGTTTGGAAAGAAATGTGATGTTTTTTTTGTCAAAAATAGGAAAAACCAATTTTTACCCCAATAAACCCCCAATAAACCCTTGTTCTGATCATATAGTCCGAATAGTCCGATCATGCTGGTTCGCAAACTCGTTCGAATAAATGTAGGTTTACACGTTTATACCAAATTTCATCAAAATGACACGGGCACATTTGTATACATATATATTTAGCCACTATGGACCTCAAAACAATAAAGTAAATCGGTCCTGGGTCCAGGTTTTACCATGAGTACTACGGTCTTAGTATTTGTGGTACAGTAATAGCTTATTCCCTGTATGGAAAATTTACTAATATATGAATTTGAACGGACAGTGTGTTTGACCTTTGACCTATAGGGACCTCAAAACGAAAAAGTTAATCGGTCCCTGGTCCAAGTCTTACCATGAGTACTACAGTAAAAGATTATTTTCCATATCGGAAATTTTCTGTATGTAGTATTCGTAGTATGTATGATCCCGTATATACTAGTTTAACTCGTTGTAAAATTGAGAAAGCACGTTTTAGAGAAAATGTGATCAATATTCCTAATATCCGATTACCGAGTTTGGTAAAGGTGTCACCTACATATGATGTCACCTAAAACAAAGCACACCAGTTTTTCATTAACTCTGTTAATTAAAAAATTTTATAAAATTGGTTTAGCGAAGAAGCATGCTATATTGGATCTATGTAATAAATGCTGACAAGGGACCAAGTAATAAGTAAATAACATCCTCCGCTGCGGCTAAGTTGTATTGGGATGTCAGAAGATGAATGTTGAGAAACTTTTCCCAATTTTTTCATCACCAACTTTACCCTCAACAACTTACAAAGTTGTTTTAATAGAATGTTGAATATGCAGGTTGAATTTTGTAAATTGAATTTAAAAAATAATTTATGATTGTTTTTTTCTGAACAAGTCAGAAAATAATTATATAAAAAAATATTTTTATATTATAATAGTATATTTTATTTTAAATAATAGTGTATAGTAAAATAACCATAATGCTTTCTATAATTATAAAAATCTATATAGAAATATTCTTGAAAAATTTCATTTTTCTATTTTTTACAGTCAAATGGGAAAACATGTTAAAACCGGTAAGAATATTTTTAAAGAATCACGAACATTTGGTTATAAATGCTCAAGGCCCACTAGGGCTCAGGCTTCACACATCACTAATATATCTATCATGGACAAAGTATCATAGTTAGATAGCTTGAGATACATATATTTATTAATCCATATATATTATTTATTGGATATTGTTCATATTTAGGGCTACTGTAACTAATATTAATAGACAAAAATAAACCATAAAATTATTTCAATTACTATAAATTTATTAACAAATAATTAAAAAAGGGTACAATGGTAGTTTTATGAATATACAGTAATTGGTTGTGGATAATCAAAATACGGATATGTAAGGTAACATACAACATGTAAAGATGTTTGTACAATTCGGTTTTTTTTTTTACCAGCCAGCAAAATAATGCTATATATAGCCCTGCGAGTTTACGTTACGGCTTTATAGTTTGCTGAGTGAGTGTTGTAGTTATTGCGCCCTCGTGCTGAGTGAGTGTTGTAGTTATTGCGCCCTCGTGCTGAGTGAGTGTTGTAGTTATTGCGCCC